AGCACTGATGGTGCCCGAGGCCCGCTGCCACCTGCTGCCAGTATCTGCCGGGAAACTGGGTCATTTACCCGGACCTCAAGCAGGGCAAACTCTTTCAGAGTGAGGGTCTGGAGGTGAAAATAGGGGATTTGCACTGGCAACCAAAGTCAAATATGACCCTGTGTGGAACCTCCAATTGTATAGGTGCTGAGCAAGAAAGGGCAGTTTCCAGGGGAACGTGTGATCCTTGGGTGCGTCATGTGTTCCTTGTTAGTGGGCAAACCACCTTTTGAGACTTGTTGCCTAAAAGAGACCTACCCCTGTATCAAGAAGAGTGAACACAGGATTCTCAAACACATCAACCCCGTGGCCACAACCCTCATCCAGCAGACGCTTCCGGCAGACCCCACAGCCTGCCAACCGTTCATTGGCTGCTCCAGACGAGTTCCCTCCTTCTGGCTGTACCCCACAGTCGCCCCATCATCAGCCTCATCATTGCACCCAGGTTTTTAATCACTGCCAGCAGCCTGGACCCCAGCAACTGGATGCCTTTCACAGTCGTCAGTAAAGGCAGGGAAGACCCCATGCCCCAGCAGCCCCAGTGATCAGGGAGACCAGCCAGGTGGTGGACTGACTGCCACCTTGGTGACATGCGGCAGTAGCTACACAGCGTCAGTGTCTCCACGCCCTCAGAGCAGGAACTGGTGCGGCAAGAGGAGCCTGAGGATCCCGCCTGCACCCCCATATTCTGGTCAGCAAATGGGGGGACTATTTGGACAAGTAGGGCCTCAGGTGTCAGCTTGTGTGACCACAGCGTGAGGGTGTGCTTCAATGACTCAATGTGCCTCATCCTCTACGAGGACAGTGACAGCCTGCCAGGTACAGGACATGGTGGTAGAGTCCTACCTCACCGTGGGTTTCCATTTCCACTCCTTGATGAAGAAGACCCCCCCCTCCTTAAGTATTTCTGGAATTACGTGAGAGATTTCTGGAATTACTGCAGCGTCACTGCTCGGGAAGGTGATGAGCTAACTTGACTACCTGACCTGTGTCCCTGGTTTCGTACCCGTGGTGTCGTTGTCCTGCACCTCAGTAATGGCTGTGTGCAGATCAGCGTCTTCCGGGACCACCCCAAACTCATCCTCTGCCCACGGATGGCAGCTGTGACCTGCATCGAGAAGCAGCAGGACTTCCGTAGGCCCCTCCTGAGCCTCCTGGAGGAGTGCGGCTGCTCCGAGGAGCTGGCCAGGTGGCTCACGGTGCCTGCACCGTGGTGGACGAGTTGCTGAGCTCCTCTCGGCCAAGCCTCAGTCTCTCCAACTATACAATGAGGGAACAGTAGCACTTTATAGGGGTTATTGGGGAATTTTGTGAGAGAACTTTTAGTCACTGCTCATGAAGTGGCAGCAGGTATTGTCAGGATGGACCCCTTGGGGACCACAGGACAGTGTTGATGCCACACTTCCCCTGAATGACGTTGAACTCTGCCCGTGTTTGCAGACGCCGCTCCTGCTAACAAGCCCGTCTCACCTGGGACTTGAGGGCGGGAACCCAGCACTGACCACGACCAGGTTTCAGGTGTGAGGCTTCAGTTTGCCCCTGGGTCTTCCCACTTCTCCCCGTGACCCAATTTAGTTATATTTTAGAGGGCCCCCAAGGTTTTTCCGTGTGTGTGTGTGTGTGTGTGTGTGTGTGTGTGTGTGTGTGTGTGTGTCAGGGGGTGGGGAGTGGGGTAGGAGTGGGGGCAGGGAGATGTTTGAGGCCACCTCTGTGGCCTGTGGCAGGAGCTGAGGGGAACTGGGGCCCCAGAAGATCTGCATTTGCAGAGACACAAACACCAGATTATCTGGAGGATAAAAGAGGATTCACGGTGACTTGATTTAAAGCTTCCCCGTTTCCTTTTTTGGGGCCTGGGAGTAGGGGGTGGGAACTGAAAACAGACAGAGCCTTGTGAGGGGACTTGAATGTTCACTTGCAGGATGAAGGCGCTTTGGAGAAGGGTTTCTCCTTCATGTACCCCTCCCATCATGTGCCATCTAACCTGAACTTTAAATCCCCAACCCCATTTGTATTCCAGTCTGATCATGGGAGACTCGGAGCGCTGTGGGCCCCAGCCTTGGTCTATAGTGGACTAGAAACCTTTAGTGGAGCCTTTGGCTGACACAAAAGGACTGTGGGGAAACCAGCCAGCATCCTCACCACACTGCTGGCCCCTGGGGAGCAGGGTGGTGGCAGATCAGTCTTTACAACTGCGTTTTCCTGGATCATCTGTGCTGGTTGTAACCATGGTTCTGAGTCTCTTATAGGACAGGAAACCATGAGAAGCCAGCATCAGGTCAATGCACCGAGTGCCCAGCATACCAATGACCAGACCACTGGGAACAATTGGAGCTAGTGCTTGAAATTCCAGCCATGAGCCTGGCTGCTCCACGCAGGGAGACGCATATATGTCCTGGGTAAGATCCCAGCTGGCAAGTCCCAAACTCACCCGGAATTCAACCACTGCAGCCCCAATTATAATAATTATAGCACCTCACCTCCGAAGGCACGAGGGCTATAAATCCTGCTTTTCTGTTTGTTCACCTGAGGGACTCTGCAGAGAGGATCAGCAGCCATGGCCCTCAGTCTCTTGAAACCAGAGACCTCTCCTTCACACAAAGAAGGTGCGACCTGCCTTCCTTGAGGTTCATTCATTTGGGGAGAAGGGGGCGGTTCCCTGGACGCTGTGTTCTAGCCTGAATTCATCTCCCACAGCTGGAAGTGTCCTGAGGTTGGAGGCGTAGCTGGTTCAGGAACAGGGCCAGGCAGGAGCAGGCTTGGAGATGTCAAGGGCGCACCGTCCTGCCCAGGGAAGGCAGAACGGCCAACAGAGGTGGCAGGTGTCTTGCCAGGGTGTCTTCACGGAGTTCTCTTTCTGCAGGATGTCTTGAGCGAAATCGTGCCTAGAAACCAGATGAACCCCGGAGGCCTTTCGTTAGCCTGAGCTCTCAGTGTTCTAGGGGCTGATTCACTCTCTTGTCCCATGTCAACAAGAGGGACACCCCTTCATGTGTCATGGGGAGCCCCTATTCTCTCACCTCTCCCCGCTCATTTCTCATTCCGTTCCCTGATCATTCTGACTTTCGAGAATGAAGGCAGGGTTGAATGTTTCCTTTCCTGGGATCTCACAGCCCCTTGGTGTGTGTGCGCAAACCTGCACCCTACTATTCACAGCTCCCCAGGGGCAGCGTTTATTCTGTTGAGCTTTGTTTGGTGGTGTCCACCTCAGTGGCATGCAAGTGGCTCTGGGACCCTCCCTGTGCCTCAGAGTCACCTGGGGAGATACCAAGAAATGCCCAACCCCCTCTTCCAGAGATCCTGCCTTAACTGACCTGGTCTGGACACTGGTAGCCTGAGAAAAACTCCCCAGCTGATTCTAATGGACAGCCATGGGTGAAACCCCCAGGACAGACAGACCATCAGTGAAAGCTCATCTAAATGAAACAGTGAGGCAGCTTTGCCTAAGTGACACCTTCTTTTATTTTGCGTGTATGTGTGGTGGGGTGGAGGTTCTCAAACCGTATCCACCCCTACCATTTTCCCACTGTTACTACCATTAGTTTGAGCCATAAAACTTGCAGGAACCAAGTTCTGGAAGGCGAGTTACTGGCAGGCATTTCTCATCTGATGTTTGGAACTGGCTGAATAACTGAGTCTTAGGAAGGCCCTGCCTCCAGCACGTGGGAGTAGCTCAGTTGTCCTTTAGGTTCACTCCCGCCCTGCCAAACCTCTTCCTCAACCCCTTCTAGAACGCACACCATGGTGTCTGAGACCTTGTGGGAAGTGGTCATGGGTAAGTTTGAGGGGTTGCGTGTGAAGTACCAGGTGAGCCAAGCAGCCCTGGAGGGAGTACTGATTTGACTGATAAGGTACACCAGGATCCGGAAGGTTAAGTAACTTATCCCATTGTCCCAGGTCTTGCAGTTAAGTGTGTGTGTGTGTGTGTGTGTGTGTGTGTGTACACACACACAAGAAATTTAAAAGGCTCACAGCACCATTTTTTTTTTATCATTTCTTATTGCAACTTCATCAAATCTGTGAATTTGTGAATTTGCAGAAGCTGACAGGACCAAGTGGGCTGTGTCTGAAAGTTGAAGGTGAGGAAAACAAGGTTGGGGGCTTTCCAAGTGGATGCTTGTAGTGCACGCCCTGCAAACACAGACCTGAAAGAAGGGAAAGGAGAAGGCTTATGTACATAGAAGAGAGAAGGACAGAAGGACAAGGACACAAGATCTTTCCTGGCCATTTATAACCGCCCCCGCCCTGAGATCCAGGAAAGGAAGAAAGGCATAAAAAAAAGAACAAAGCCAGGTAAACTGTTAAAAATTATTTAATAGAAAGTCCAATGTCAAAATGTAACAATAAACAAAAATACACATGTATAAATATGTATATATAATTAGACCTGTACACTTTCTCAGACCCTTTTCAAAATGGAACAGAATCATCATTACATCTTGGTGGTCAAACCAAAAAATAAAAATATTCAAGCAACGTGGACCCACGGGTGCTGTGGGGAAGAGCATTGCTGACGCGCTTTGAGGGTTCAAAGAATTCCAGTCCTGGGGGAGCGGGGGATATTGCCAAATGCCTTTTCGGGAGACTCCGAGAGGGGAGGTGAGCAGCCCCATGGCTCTGTACCTCTAGCCACGACCGTCTCAGGGCCGCTCTCCTGTCAGGTGGGGTTTTGAATTATTTCCATTGCTGTTGTTTGACAGCTTGCTTGTCCTGTCTCCCAGGTTAGGAGTTCCTGGGGATTTTGGCTAAAGATCTTCGGTTCCGCAGGCCGCGTGCCAGCACAGTGGTTTGAGATGGATGCCATCAAGGGGTGCTGACCTGCTCTTAAAACAGCGGTGTCCAAAGCGGGTGTGCCCATACCAGGGGGTAGCTCAGGTCCCCCGCAGGGGCTCAGAGAGAAAATACCAGAACCTCTGGCTATAATATTTTATATCTTATTCTTTGAAAATGTCTATGTTGTGTCCTTTTTATAATGTGCCTACAATATTAGTACAGAAGTATATGAATATAAGCTTTAAATAAATTAATAAACATACAGAAGGGGTGCATCTCACAGAGTTTTTTTGCTGATAGGCATGTGCGACTGAAACAGATGGGCGCCCATGGCTTTACAGAATTCCTATGCACTCAGTGTACTGGGAAGGCCACCCTGCTGGGCTCCCATGTCCACCTGAGGAAGGTGCTCAGAAGAGTCATCCCCAAGATACTGTGCAGACCTGACTAAGAGCGGATGCCTTCTAATCCTGCCACTAGATTTTCCTTGAATGTAAGGCCCTATTCCTAAGTGAAACACAAATGCCCTTGGAAAGAGCAAATACACAGCCATTGACAACAGGCAGCCATTTTGATCTTTTCCTGGTGATGGGGTGGCATTTGGACTGGGGTGGACAACAGGGAGAGGGTGCTCTGAGGCAAACCTGGCCAAATTCAGCCCCGACTCCCACGAGGAGCTTCCAGGGTCTTACTTTGAAAGTAGATGTGTGTAGGGGGCCAATTGTTCTGTCAGTTTTCAGCACCACCATCACCACAGACCAAAATCTAATACAAAAACGACTTCAGGGATATTCGAGAGAGAACCACAAGACACAGAATTAGAAATTCCTCAGCCAACAGCAAGAGGAATATCTGGGGAAAGAGTGGGCATTTGAGCTAAACACTTTCCACGAGTCCAGAAGGCTGGAGCTGCTGTTGGATATGCCAGGTTGCACCCCAAAGGGCAGCTAAAGGGCTCTTGCAGAAGAGATCAGCCCCAAGCAGCTTTCAGGGCCCTTTTGGATCCCTGAGCCGCTCCCCTCGGAAAACTGGCGTCAGCCCCAAATTCCTCGGACCTCTCGGAAATGATGTCACTTGTTTGAGCCTTTTCTTGAGTTTCTAGAAACCATACTGCCTCACAGCTAGTATTTTGATTCATCTCATTCTTTTCTTCTCCTAGATAAAGTTTCTAATTATTTGTCTGGAGGGGAGGGGGGTATGGAAAAACCCGATGCTCTGAACTCGGAATTGGTCCTTTGGGAAACCTAAAAGGCACTGTGAGTTGTCTCCACAGACTCCGTTTGTCTCGGAGCCTTCCCTGCCTCACGCCCGAACAGCGCAGAGCTGCAGGCTCCGGCGACTTGCCCCGGTCCCCACGAGGTCCATGGCAGCCATCTAGGCTTATGGGTATTTTCCATGTGCTAACAATCTGTCTGTGCTTTACAAAAATTTAATATCCCTTCTGGTGGGACTCAGGTGTGCACTCTGGACTCAGCAGAGGCTCGGCCACCAGGTGTGACCCAACCCAGGGAAAGGCTGTCCCAGGGCCGCTGCCTTTGAGGGAATGAATGAGGCTGTCACACACTAAGTCGGGGAGCCCTCTGCTACTTCCTGGGTATTCATCTTGGGGTGCACCCTCATCCTGGCGTCTAGGCCAGCCTATTCCCAAGAGGTATTTTTAACTTTGGTGGCTCTACAGACAGGTTAGGATGACCTACAGCTGTCTCTCATATGGCTCTAAAACAGACCCAGCCCAGGTGAAAGCCCTTGAGTCCAAACAGCTTTCGGTGAGAAGAGGAGGAGGTGGTGTGGGGGCGGGGGCCATTCGGGAATAACTCAATCTCAGCAAGAAACTGTGCCCTTCCATAGTGATAAGGGAAATTCTGGCCCCGATGCCAAGCCCACTTACTTCTTTTGGTGACCTCAGCAGTGACCTCTGCTTTGGAGGGCAGAGGATCACCCCAGCTAAGTCCATGGAACCCTCTGGGAGGGGGCGGCTGACTGTTCTGGCCTTGGCCCTCTCTCTCTCCTCAGCTCCCAGCTCCAGCTGCGTTCCTGCCCGCGGGCCCTGAAGCCCACACTGTCCCTCCTTTGGGCTCAGTCCTATGCTGTCCCTCCACCTGGAAGGCCCTTTGCAACGCTCTCTCTTGGTCCTCGAACAAACGTGGGCTTTGATGGCACCTCTTTCAGGAAGCTCCCTGCTTCCCACAGCTGGGCGGCTGCCACTCTGAGATGCTCCCACAGCACCCAGGACTTAGCCCTACAGACATTCCCTAAATTGTCTCCCCGGATGTGACTCTTCAAGCGCAGGAGCTGCGTGTCGTTCAGTCATGGCTGGCTGGCGATTAGCTCAGTGCCTTGCGCGTATCAGGTGCCCTAGCAACACTCTGTCGCGTGAATGAGTCCTTGACAGTGGGGAAGGCAACGCTAAAAATGCCGCCTTTGAGACAACCGCAATGATGGGGTCCCAACCCCACACACTGGTGTCGGAGTGTCCCAGTGAAGCTGCTGAAATGCCACTGTCAAGGCCATCCTGGGCGAGTGGGACAATGTGTGAGAAATGCTGTGGTTGTATAGAGCTGGACCTGTCATGCATCTTGGGGGATGTGCCCTTTTGTGCCTGGGGTGGGGAAAGGGCGCCGGCCACACATCCAGGCTAGAGGCCCAGGTGAGGCAAACACGCCAGTGATAGGGCAATCCTGGACCAGAGGTGGCACAAGGCGAGACAGCCAGCAGACCTCCATCCTCCTATGGGCGCTAACTCAAGCTTTAGCAAGAGTGATCACTAGCTTTTCCTGTTTTGGTATTATTATAGTTACACTAATACTTTCCTGGACATCATCTGAGAGATTACCAAACAGGCAAAATACAGCTCTTCCTTAAACTATTTCAATGATAAAGTAGTTATAATTTCTTTCTCCATCTCCCTCTCTCTCTCTCTCTCTCTGAAGGAAAAAGATCTAAATTTAGAATCCTAATAAGACAGCTGCCTGGTTCTGCTCCAGGAAAACAGATACCATTTTTTAAAATGAATTTCCATCTTGCTTTGAACAGAAAAGCTGGCTTGAAATCTATTGCGAAACGTCCCTTTCCTGCTTGACTGTCAAGAGAGAACAGTCCCTGAAGGTCTGGACTGAAATGCCAAGAAACCGGGGGCTGTTCTGCCGCTCCTGGGTCCAGGCCAAGTGGCCCCCGAGGTTCCACAGCTATTTTTAACCCTAGGGACCTTAAGGCAGTTCTGGCTGAGTTTATGGTGTTCTTTTTACTGCCTCTAAGTTTTACTCAATCAAGTTCAAAGCGTTGGGCTAAAAATAACCCCTGGAAAGGGAAGCAGGGAGAATTCAGGGGAGAGTGAGACAGTATTGGAATGAGGGCTTTGGTTTCAGAATGAATCCTGCTGAATTAAAGCAATTTCTCTGGCTTCCTCGAGACAAGAGCCATTTCCTACATGATCCTGAATGAATCTGACAGCTGCCAGGTTAGAGGCAGGACCTTGGGGGCAGTTTTCATAGGAAAACTGGTCAGGGCATCCCCCCTACACCAGGAAATTCTTTCGATTCCTTCAAGCTAAGTAAGTGAGGGTGGAGGTGGGTCCCCTCTAGCAGCACCTTTAATAGTTGCTATGGAGACATGAGTCATCTTCTTTAGAGGATGTGCCTTTAGGAACCAGGAGGGACTCTGGGGAATTCTTGAGCTCTTCTGACCTTGGGACAAGTTATTTAAATGACTATCCAAGTCACTACAGGAATATCCCAAACATTCAAGGTCCTGAAAGAGATTCACATCTAGTTTCAAGGCTTAAACTAGCCTGGAAAATACAGAGCCCTAGTTCAACGATCAAAAAGAGACATCAAACCCTCGCTCACAAGAAAGGATTTCCAGTCAGTGGCCCAGGCCTTCCCGCCACCTTTGGAGATCAGGTTCCCCCAAACTTCTCTGCCAGGTTAAGGCTTTTTCACCTTAAAAAGATGCAGAAACCAGCTTTGGGACCCAGAAAGAGATGACCAACTCAGATGCCTATCTAACTGCAGAAGTACCAGGTTCCTTGTCCAGATGTGGTAAGGGTTTCCAGGGGAGAGAAAGGTGCCTAAATTCCCAGAGCCTTTTCCTTCCAGGCACTGATGTGACGCTAGCCGGCAGCCTCCCCTGATTTGTGTGTAGCTCATCAGATAGGAGGAGGCCAAGTAGAACATGCCTCATGGAGACACCAAGCTGGTGATGAGCCAAACAGAGGGTCTGGAAGGTAGATGCCCCCAAAGGGTGGTTTTCACAGTGTTGCAAAGGGCATAGTATTATAATAACAAAAAAATTGGGAAAATACTTGAATGACATCTTTCCTTCTTTCAACATGGGCATTTATGTTGGATAGATATATTCTACACATAAGATCCAGACCTTAGAACATGGCGGTAACAGATTCAGTGCACAGGATTATTGGGAGGGAGACACAAGACAGTTATAAAATGCTTATTAGCACAGTATCTGGCACAGAGTGAGTATAAATAACAAACAATAGTTCCTTTTCCTCTTTGCCCAAGGTTACATTAGAGCCCAGATAAGGTACCAGAGTCTCCTGAAAAACATGGCATGGCTAGCTGGTCACAAAAGTAAATATATTCACCTACAATCCTCTTTTCCTGCCATCGGTTTTTACCCCTTTGCCAGAGATATACAAAAAAAGGTGACTGAAGTCAAAGACATTTTCCCCCCTTGGAAAAACACATCCATTCATTGGCAAAAGGCAGTTCCTAGACCTCATTCATGAAATTCCAAAGGTTTATTGCAGGGACATTGGCAGTGTGAAAGCGGCGGCCTCACCCAGCTTTACACAGGCTCATGGAGGTTGGTAATCCCCCTCCCCCCCGACGGGACATTGAGAAGCCAAAGTTCCTGCTTCAAACCACCTTTTCATTTTGCCCTTAAAGACATATTCCCCTCCCCCACCATGCCTTATTTTTCTACTGGGTTTAAGCAACTTACAAAGTTTAATTTCTGAAGGGTACAAAGAAATAAAGCTCTGAGAACGCCTTCCAGAGAGAAAAGCATGGAAGGTAGATTTTATGCAAAATCATACAGTGCAATCTAATACTGGTTTTGAATAAGAGAGTTGGGAGGAGGAAGGAGACAGCCTTAGAAACCAATTGTTTCGTCTTTCATAATGCACATCTTAGCGTCCAGGAGTCCAGGATTCAGAGTCAGTACTTTCCAGGGTTAAGAATTTGATAGCTTTTCTTCCTATAAGACTGACGTATTTAACCGAGTTTCTTTTCTAAGATGAGTAGAGATGGAATGCTCCTTGAAACTCTTGCCCAATGTCTAAACAGGACTTCTAATCAATATGCCAGCCTGCATCGCAGGCTCCTGAGGTAAAAATGCATTAAGAGGTATAATCTCTGTTTTTAGCAGGCTTATGGGACAGTCTGGCCCTAAGAGAAGAAAAAAATAAAACGTCTCAGTGAGGTTGGGGGAAGGACAAAGTTATAACTCAAAGTGGGGTGGCATCACATGGGACCAAAAAGTAAGCGCCATCATCCCTGGGCCTGCTCCTGGGGGCTGTCATGTTGCAGCCGTGGCCACTCCTGACCCTGGGGGAACCCCTGACATTGACGTGCTTCCTTGCCTTCTAGAAGGAGGCTGGCCCCCGGGCAGAGGACTAAAGAACCATGGCTGCTCTTTGGTCAGGTGATCTCTTATTGGAGTCATCCAAGCCCAGTCTCAGACCATGGGCACTGCCGATGGGGAGACACCGGCCTCCCAGCAGGCCCATGGCGGGCCACTGCTGCTTCTGAGGGCTGACCTAGTTTTCTTGTCTCTGCACTCCATACCTGCTTTGTCCCTAAATAGACCATAACAATACTCTGTGCTCCAGCTTGGGGCTAGGAGGCATCACTGAGGTAAAAGCCTCTTTCAAGGTTCTCTGTCAGCAACAAACACGTATTCAATTATGACAACAGAACTCCGCCATCCTGAATCTCTGCCAACCCAAAGAAGCCATGTATATTCTGCTGAACTTTTACAACTCTACAACTCGGGGCACACAAAGCCTGTGTGATCCAGCTGTGACTCTTACTGACAGTCTGCCCCACCCATGGGCCACTCGGCAGCTGGATTTTGAACTGCACCCGGCACAGAGCCATTCTATCCACCTCCGCTAAATGCTTCTCAGTCCATTTCTCAACCTTTTTCTACCTCCATCCACCAGGCCATTTCTCTCCCTCCCTCCTTCCATCTCCCTGAACCTCAGAGACCACAGCCAGCAGAAGCATTAGTTCCGGATTATTCTTTTCATTTTATCTGTGACAATCTGCTTAGTGTTCAGACACACAGGGCAGGGTGGGGGGACAGGCTAAATACTTTTTGCTTGAGACCCTTTCAGAAAGCATAACCAAATTAAGTACAAACATAAATCACTTGAAAATTTTATGATGAAAACCAACCAATGGAAAACAGAGCATTTTGAGTGTAGCTAACATAATCAAACATTTCATGACGACCCGCTTCGCCACCCCATTTCTCAGATCTATTCCTAGAGGTCCCACATGTGTCTGCAGGTGAAATCACTTTTGTAACCTCAAAGAGGTCTCCACTGTTAAAAACCGGAAGACACAACTCCAGAGAAAAAGCCACTGGTTCCCGGGAACCAGTTTCTGGTTTTACGAAACACTCAAAAGTCAGGTTCTCAAGAAACACTTGGGTTCTGCATATACATGTGTATCACGTCAAAATGTTGAACACGACTGTAAGAAAAAATGATACAAGCACGTTTCACCTTCAGGTAGGTGATGATTTTCTGGCAAGATACTCTTTGAGATAGGAAGTCAAGGAGTCAAATGGAAGACATTTACTGTTTGCTTTGTAAGAATAAGAAATCCTGGGAATAGGTCATCTGCATTAACAGTGAACAAGTCCTCAGTGGACAAGTCTGAGGTGGGGCTTAGCTGTTCGTTTACAGTGGAAGAAAACTATTTTATGCCCTTGGCCAAATACCATACAAAGGGAGGGCACTGCGCCCCTTGGCGATTTGACTCTCCCAGCATCTTCCTGCGTGAAGCAGGCTAAATAGCCTTATGTTTTGGCTTCATCTCTATTTATGTAACAATCACAGCTGCTCCCCAAAATAGCTGCTGCTGGCTGAAAGAATTGAGGGCTGTTGTTCCTCATGTTTGAGCCCATTTTCTACAGCATGTGACTGGGTCTCCTTCCTCTCAGTGTTGTGCCCTGGGTCTGAAAGGAGATGAGGAATCTTACCATGGGCACATCAATGGTGCCATCACCTATGTGGATGGGTTTTCAAAGCCCAGGCTCATCTCAACAAGAACAAATCTGGCTGCTTCTTGTAGTCTGTGGCAGGTGATCTCTTGACTGTCTGGAACATACTAAGCAGCCACCTTTGGAGGGTGACAGTACCCCCGACAGCGAGGCCCTTCACACTCACAAGCCCCAAAGAGAGAAACACACAGTGCTCCTTCTGCATTTTTGTGGGACAAACCCAAACCTGGACTGGTGCCCTGCCCAGAAAGTAACAAAGAGAACCCCCCGGTCAAAGCTATCAAATGCGTTAAAAAAATACAAAAGTTATTTTCTCCTTTTGACTGCTATTTACTTGTGACAACATTTGTTAAAAATATTACTTCTGTCTTTGGGAAGAGAGCATTCTCTTCATATAATAATATGGAAAAATAAACTCTACCAAACCCACAGTTAACATTCCCCACGACCACCCAGGGGGCTTTAGTTTTCGCATCTCCAAGTATTATCGCCAGTGTCAATGTGCTACATTTTCCAGCAGGCGGAAGTCTCTCACTGTTCTGTGTCCAGTGCTGCAAGGGAGAGGAAGAAAAAGTGGCCAGGCTCCTGCACCATTCGGAAGGGAGAGAATGAGGAAGTAAGGTGTGGTTTGTTTGCTAACAAAATGAAAGCTTACAGGGTGGTTTCAGGCCCTTCTAAAACCTCGGGGGATGTCCCCTCTTCTGACCACTCAGAGCCCAGCTAATGCTTGGTAGATTATTAATGGGAGGGTGGGGAGTCACTGAGGTGAAGTGTGCATGTCACTGCAAAGGATGGCTCATCTTCCGCACCCAGATGCTTCGGAAGACACTGAACTGGATGAATGGGAGAAGACAAGGATCCATAAAAACAGTAAAATGTTTATTTTCTTAGAAAAAAAAAAAAAGTAGGGAAGAGGGATTCGAAATGATTGTGATCACACACTTCCGTCTGCATCGGAGCAAAGCCAGTGTTGCAAGTTTAATCCTTGATTATGATACCTAGTAAATGAAACGACCTGCTGCTTGCTCCTGGGTCACTTCCAGGAGTCATGTCCCAACAGGCTTTCAATCGAGAATAGCTTCTCTACTTCTTCTTAGCACAGAAACAAGGCTTGCCATAGCAACCATCCCATCTCCAAAGCGCGACATTGCCAGGGAGAAGCAAGACTCCGGACCAGCTCGGGAGAGACAGGGGGGAAGGGGAGAGGGAAGGAGACGCTTAAGAAGCGGAACCGGTCTAGAATAGAAGTTTGATATCTGAGTTCACCACTACCCCATCTTTATAGAAAACAGGTTGGAGAGCCTCTGTAAAACCAACAGGATCTTTAAGGTGAAACTGCAGAGTTTTGCTGCATACCTGGACACAAGAGAAGTGAAAAGTTGCAACAAGTTTTAACTAGCAGCAACAAAGAGAGTTCGATTACGGTTTTTTTGTTTTGTTTTGTTTTTAGCAATATTCCTTTGCAAGTTCATTAAGAAACACTGTAATTTAATGGGGCATACGATACGGACTGATCTTCTTTTAGTGCTGTTCCTTGAAGAGGACCGACCTTTGCAAAGACTTCAACTGGGGTGTAATCTATTTACACAGTAGTAGCTCCTGGTTTGAGTGGTAGAATTGGTGCTATGTGATATCCTCTTCTTCCGAACAGTAATCTCGACCCTAGAGGGGAAAAGAAAAGAATAACATGTGAATGAGAAATTCAAAGCAGGCCCGAGACAGTTACTCGCCATCAATTTTCTCTCAGTATATGTCTTCTTACATCAGAACCCAGGTTTCATCAGTGACTACTGGGCACGAGATAGGTAAGTCATAAATAGTATGTGTGGGCTGATTTATAAACTGTATATATCTCCAGGTGTGGGAATTTTACCAAGCCCCCAACAAGCCCTTACTTTATACTGGTAAGAACATATACGAGGCACATACAAGACTCAGCCATTCACCAAGAAATTACCAAACGGACGATCTGTTCAGGAGATCAATTTCTCATGAACAATAAATAAGCAAGTCGCTTTTCAGCTGGGGCCAGGGCTGCTCACTTTGAACAGCTATGTCTCCACGCCTGGAATTTATAACTTCACAGAAGGGGACAGTACACTCCACGGATGCTTTAGTTTTAAGCCGCTCTCAATTAAAACAAGATTAAAAGAACCAAACAAGCAAGGTTTCACTGACTATAACCTATTTTAGGACTATGTTTGGTATATGTGGCATGCACGAGAAAGGCAAAAATGCGTTTGATTCATTCACGAACAAAACAGGTTACTTGACAGTTTAAGGATTCTAGACTATTGTGACTTTTTTTTGGGAACAGCCCTGGTCATTGGTTACACATTGCTTTCATGCTACAATAGCACAGTTGACTCTTAAGGAGGGCGCAGCTCAGTGGCTCTTGCGGGGATCAAACCAGCAACCTTGGTGCTATCAGCACCACGCTCTAACAAGCTGAGCTAACCAGTCACCCTTCATTGTTACTTTTGAACATATCCCATCTTCTCTCCAGAGGATATACACTCTATGAGTGGGACTGGGTGCGACTGGGACCTAAGCTCCACATCTGACATGGCTGGGCTGCCTTGGTCAAAACACACGGCTTTGTGGTCTGTAATCCCTGACAGGTAACATAGGAACAAAAGGCATGCCTGCATCACAATGTCAAAAACAAGGGCTTCGTGGGCCGGCCGAGTGGCGCGATGGTTAAGAACTCGCTTGGGATGCCAGAGGGCCCCGGTTCGGATCCCACATATGAGGGCCAGTGACACTGCCCTCCACAGCTAAGATGCTGAACAACAGCTCAACCTGGAGCTGGGTTGCCATGAGTCGCCGGCGATGGCGTAGGCTGCAGCCCCTGTGGCAGTGGATTGCCATGGGCTACCATGTGTAGCCAGCAGCCAGCGTGAGCGGCCAGCAGCTGCAGTGAGCGGCCGTCCAGAAGCCGGCGACTGATCTGCCTTACCAGGGAAGAGCGCAATGACGATGCCAACTTGGGCCAGTGAAGCAACATCCTCCACAATTAGATTGAAGAACAAAAATGACAGCAACTTGTCTGTTCCCCTTCCCCCAATTCCCCAGCACTGTTCCCATCCCCCCAATTCCCCAATTAAAAAAAAAATCTTAAAAACAAAACAAAACAAAAAAACAAACAAAAAAACAAGGGCTTCGTAAAAAGTCACGGAGTAATATTTATTATTTGCATTCTTCGACCCTCTTCTTTTTAAATACACAGTACGTGTTTCAAATTTTTTTTTGAATATTCCTTTAAAAACAGAATTTTCTAAATAACTTTAACTTATTCCTAAAAGTATTGAAAACTTAAGGAGTACAATAATTTTGTATAAAACTATTTCTCAACTGCATGATATTTCTTTGTCACCATATCTGTATATTGACAATATTTCACATTCTCCTAATATTTAAGCATCATAATGAACTATTGTGCCATCTGGCTAGGGGGAATCTTGGCTCTGTGACTTACTAGAGCTGGAATCTTGATTAAGTTACCTCTCGGAGTCTCAGTTTCCCCACCAGTAAAACAACGATAGCCACAGTATCTACTTCACATGGTTGCTGCAGAGTGAGTTAATAATAGTGAAGTGATTAAATAGTGCCTGGCACATAATTGATACATGTTGAACGTGAGTGTACACACATGTGCACATGTGTTTGACAAATAAAAAAAAACGCTACCACACAATGAAGTCTTCAGGGGTTGTCTGTCCCCATGCTAAATGGCCCCAGATTGTTTGTTCTCTTTGAATGCGATTCACTTCTTAGCATGTTTTGGTTTCCTCCATCATCAGATGGCCACCTCTTGCCCCGGCTCCTTGCAGTCTGAGCCCAGTGTCATCTGCAGCCTTCTTGTACTTGCTGCATGAAACGTCTCCTGGTCAGAGAAACTGGCTAGCCCATCTTCCTGAGAAGAGAGGTGCCCTGAGCAGTTACCCCACATGGAGAGCCTCCCTGGTGACACCACTGAAGCAGATGCCATCACTAGCCTTGGCCTGAGCCACTCAGGAGGCGCCCTCTGAGTCCCACGTTGGCGAGTTAGGAAGGAGAGCCTCATGGACCCTGACTGTTGAGACCTTCTTCTCTAATGTGGGAAACATGCCACAACCGAACATATCAACACGATGCTGAAAACACATCAGGTGATGCTGTCCACATAGCTCCACTCACATGGCTCAGGAGTAGACGTGCAAATAAATGGACGCTGGAAAGGAGAGGCAGGACTCATGGAGTTTTCGTGGAGCTTTTTGTTGTTGTTGTTGTTAGAAAAGGAAAGAGGACATTTCTAGTGTATATATGGACACACACACTGTTGTTGTGTGTCATCGGGCAAATTACCGGGCTTTGGTTTCCTGGGGATAATCATGGCCTCTGTCTCATAGGGTTGTGATCAGACTTAAATGGGAAAGATATAGTGTCTGGCAGACAGTCAATAAATATTAGTCGCTGCTGTTATTACTACTACTACTGTTAACCCCCCATGTTTGTTCAGTCCCCTAGCAGAGGGATTAGGGTCTCCTGTCGTGTGGCTGTCCGGTGGGTGAGGACTGTGGTTATACAGGATGATCCGACGGGTGTCAGGTGGCCTCCCTCCCACCTCAGCCTTGTACCTAAGGCAGGTCAGAACTTCGTGTTCTAGAATAAATCTTCTAGGGCAGACACTTAAGTCCCTTCCCTCCTTATATCTAAATAAGGCCTCTAATCAGAGCAAAAGCCCAGCTGACCAATGTGGGGTTCAGAGAGCACCTCATCCACAAGGAAGACTTGGATGCAATGACAGACAGACAGGCAGACAGACAGACACACACACACACACACATGTGAACTGGTGTACTCATTGATAAGCAGTGTCTCCAGCTCTGTAAATGAGTTCAGGGTTGTGCAGCCGACACTACATTTCAGACCCTCCAAGCTTATTGTTACCATAAGAAAGCACCCTCTTCTGAGGGACAAAATAAACAAAGACTCCATGAAAACTCAAAACTGCAACTTTCATTTCCCCAGCATTGGCTCCTCTGAAATGATTATCATTATTATAGAAGGAGAAGAACTTCATTCGTTGCTTTGCAGACATTATTTCCTTGGTATTCACACCAGCCCTGCAAGGAGGAAGCGGTGCCTGTGACCAGGCGGTGGGGAAAACTCAGAGAAGCCCAAGCCCACAGGGTAATCCTTGTGTTTAAAAAAAAGTTTTTTATTGTTGTTTTGTTACGACTGTAGTTAGTTGGTAACTGAATTCAAATTCAAATCAGTTTCATTTTTTGTGATTATCACCTGTCAGCAGCTCTGAGAACCAAATATTTTATAAGCAGAAAACCTGGAAATCAAAAACATCCAGAGTACTGGCTCCCATATGGCTGGTGTCGTTTTAAGAAATGAACTGGAGAGCAGCCGTATCTCAGCATCACCTGGGGCCCCACCTGCTCACTGGACCTACCCGGCAGGGCAGGGAGCTTGCTTCTAGAGCATGACTTTATGTCTCATTGAAATTTTAAAAGAACTGTGCTAAAAAGAGAACCTTAAAACTTTGGGCTGTCAGAAGGCAGGAAGTGGGAGTGCGCAGGGTTTGGGAGTTAACACAGCAATTCTCTTCGCTGAAGCGCGCCCTTTCCCCTCGAAGGGACCACAAAATGGAAGGCTTTGTAAAGAAGCTTTGCACAGTCGGAATTAGGAACTGTTGGACACAATTGCACCCTTGTGTAAAGGACACACTGAGACCTACAGAGAGCAAACCCCTACGAGGACCCCCCAGAGTGGAGGAGCGGAAATGCCTGTGGATGCTGACAAAGAAGTGCTGTTGGATAAACCACAGGGGCATTTTGGCGCAGACGCACACAAAATATCTCCAAATATCTCCGCAAGGAGCTTTTGCTTTTGGAGGTTTCCCCTGACCACACCTTCACTCTGAATAGGTCTTCCATGTCCTCTACCGCTGTCTTTCTTATTTTCTTGGCGAATAAAAGAAGTTTATGTCAACTCAAGGACATACGTTTCTAAGGTTCTAGGGTACAATTTTTTTGTTTGTTGAAATGTCTAAGCTAAGAAATAGAGATAGTAATAAGAATTAGAGATAAAAATTAGAGATAGTAGTGAAGGGAAGGGCATTATCCTAATTTTAAATTCTGCAAGATTAAAGAGTGACTTCAAATAAAGAAATTGTTCCTGTAAAGTGCCTACCGTATTTTTCTCCTGAAGTTTAAGTAGACAAATAGTCTAGGGCTGGCCGTCCAGTGTCAGGTGAGATTTTATCACACAGATCCTCAGTACATTTTTGTAGACGTACATGCATTTGGCCCAACACATACACCTCAAGCATATAACAATCAGCTGTGAAGTGAGTATCTTCCTGATGGAGTAGGTTAGAACTAGATGAAAGGTACTGAGAAGAAGCACTGGATCTCAGTTTCCCCATCTTTGAAATGGGGATGGTAACACGTAACTTGCAGTATTGTTGTGGGGATTAGAAGTAAGACACATAAGGTGTTTAGCAAAGCTTGGCACGTGGTAGACTCTTAATAAATTAAAGCTCTTGTGATAATATTGAAAAATGAGATCAATCGATCTAATAGTTAATAAGCTGCTTAGATGAGAAATTGAGCCCATAGCTGGATCAGCTACATTCAGGACCTCAGACAAGCTGGGCACCTCAGGGC